TATTAGAATTGTTTGGGTTAACTGATGCATTGTTGGGCTTGTGGAGAACTTGTTTAAAGAATATCACCTTTGGAAATGCATGTTTTTATTGGCTTGATGAGAAGTTATGTTATTCCTTTGTGGCCGTCTTTGGATCATTTGCTTGCTTTTTGGAACTTTGCCTTGGACCTTTGGTGGTTGGAGATAAATTAGACTTCATAGTTATTTTTCTTTATTGGGAAATATTATATTCTTCTTTCTACCTCCAACACTAATGATATTAATATCAATTTAGGGTGTGTTTGTATATCAACTATTTTAATTTATATTTAATTCATATTCAAAATTTAATTCAATTTTAACTTAATTCTATTATCTTTAATATTATTAATATAATTAAATAATATTAACTAATCATTCATACATATCACATCAATTTTAATTTACTATTTATCCACTCACTTTTTTTTTGTTGATCAGTAAATTCATCCACTCACTTAATTTGAATTAACAATCACTTCACATTATATTTCTTATACTTTTACATCAAATTAACTTTAATTATTTTATTTCAAATCTTATTTTAATATAAACTTAAAGTCCCACTAACAACTAATCATACTAACTTTTTTAAAATTAATCATGGTTAACCAAAAAAATTTCGTTTTGAGCGGATATATTGTATTCAAACACGTCCTAATGTCTATTTGCTAAACGAAATGAGTCGCTCGTGAGTTCTACTCGGCTCGGTAGACTTAAAAATAGAAGTTTTTATGTAGTTCCTTGAACTTTTAGTATAATTCAGCCCGTTATGGCTCAAGATTGGCCACCTTGAGTTCATTCACCAACTCTTGATGTATATCATGTTGCCAATGCTACAAGTTCATGTGCAAATGCAAAAATAATTTTATATGTTATATGTGTGTATATGTAAACGTAATTATTAAAATCATAATTTAGATAATGAGCATACTACATATATAAGTTTTATAATTGATAAAAATGAATAGTACAAATATAAACTATTTAACTTACATATTACTATTTATATTATTTGTAGTGATATATTTTTGCAATATTATATCAATTAATTAATCAAACTATATTGAAGTTATTAGTATAACAATTTTGTATGGAATATTAAATGATTTTGTTATGTCATTAAAAGAATGACTAATTTTAATAAAAACTTGTTTAATGAGCCGGAAAAAATGAAATAATAATTTTAAATAAATATTTTAGAAGAAAAGTTTATTTAATGTGACTTTATGATCAGTTAGTACCTATTATGTAATAAAATAAATAACAATATAATTACTTATTTATTGCAAAATTAAACAAAAAAGAATGTAAAAACTAAAAATAATTGTCATAAAAAGTGTTCCAACAATTATATATATACACACACATGTATTCTCCTCACACATTTCTAGCTTTGGTGTGGTGTGATTTTGCATCAAGTCACATGTTGCTCCCCCTCCCCTAAGAGCATCTCCAACTAGAAACTCTATTTTTAGAGTTTCTACAATGAAATCTCATTAGTTTTACAGTTTGAACAGTGCGACCAACTCCAACTCATTTTCTCTATAATTCCCCTCTAAAAGAATATTCCTAGCATATTCTTTTCTAATTTTATTAGTTTATTAATAAGCTCTACAAATTACATTTTAATGCATTACTCTTGCATAAAATTTACATATTTATGTATAGATATTAATTATTAAGATTAATTAATAAATTTAAATCAAAACCACAAATTAAACTTTACATCATAAAACAACATGGATTTCATCACAAAAATTAATTTAAAAAAAAACACCAACACAAACATGAAGCATTCAATACTATAACAACTAAGGAAAACAAAATACAACACTTGTTATTGACATGAGAATATTTTTCCGACAAATGCAACCAATGCATTGCGAAGTTCAAAGTGTGCAGACTTATCCTTGATTCTTTATGTCGAGCAAGAAATTATTGAAATGAGATGTGAACTCGCGGTGCTGGAGTAACCGTAGAAGCACCAAATTTTGAACAACATTAATTATATTCGATGCACTAAGATCATGTTGATCTTCGACATTCATATTGTGCAAAATAATACATGCTTTCATTATATCACTAAGCACATCTTTTTTCCAGAAACGAATGGGACGCACGACGAATGTGAATTTTTTTTTGCAGAACTCCAAATGCACGCTCAATATCTTTTCTACATGCCTTTTGTCTCATTTTAAAGAATTCCTCCATTAGATTTGATGGCGCAACAAAAGACTGAACCATCTATTAAATAATAGCTCATATTAAACTGTTCACCTTGAATGGTAGAATTAGCTAGTGGAGCGATACCTTCAGCAAGATTTGACGTTATAGGTGATGCTTCCAGCACATTAATATTGGCACATGACATACTAAAATATGCGTGCCACATCTATAGACCATAATCTGCCACAACTTCCAAAATGATTGTTGGTTTTCTGGAACGTCCAGAGTATTGACCAGCCCATGCCTTAGGGCAATTCTCCCATTCTCAGTGCATGCAGTTCAAGCTACCTAAAATACCTGAAAAACCACGTTGTTCACCAATATGAAACAATCTAGCGATATCATCATGATTTGGTGATCTCAGATATTGTGCTCCGAAAACTTCAACGACTCCCCGACAAAATCTCTTTACACATCTGTAGGGGTTTTATAGGGCAACTGACGAAGCGCCGATGTCCCTTTTGTATATGTTGACAATCCAAGTCGACCAAGACCATCTCGATGTTGATGGGAGAAACTATTATGATTTTTCTATGCTTGTATAACACGCTTGAAATTATGAATAGAAATTCGAAACCTTCGACGGAATGTATCTGCATCGTAGGTTGGATTACTACTAAAATAATCTCGAATCAGAGTGCGGTAGGCCTCCTCTAGATCACGATGGACTACTCTATGTCCTGGAACAGAACCTCCCCAAGTTGGTTATCTACTTTGCTCAGAGATAGCATGTGCCATAAAAAAAAATTATTGGTTTGCAATATATGAGCGTGGTTGTTTCTAAAGTGTTATCAAAAAGAGGTAATGAAGCATTTGCATCTTCCTCATCAAAATCATAATTATAAGGAGAAAGATAATTGATATCAGAGAAAAATATTACAGAAATATTCGATAATGACCGTAATATGTAGCTTGGATAGTATGATGTATAGTTTCATGTTTATATAAACGAATGAATGAATAAAAGAAATAAATGTTTTCTTTGTTGTATTCTTTTTCATACAATGCCATATGAAGCATTATTTGTTTGCATTATTTTTGGACTGGTTCATCTAACCATTAAATTCTTTTCGGACAAGACCATGTGAAGTGAACTAATTTGACCAAGACAATGAAAAGGATGTAAAACTTTATTTCTATACATTATTTTGGACAATGACAAATGATACATCTAACTATTGGATTCTTTCCGGACAAGACCATGTGAAGTGAAAAAAATTGACAAACACAATGACAAGTGTAATATTTTCGAACAAGGTCATGTGAAACATTATTACTTTACATTATTTTTTGACAATGACAAATGGGTCATCTAACCATTGTATTATTTTCGGACAAGACCATGTAAAGTGAACAAATTTGACTTAGACAATGACAAGCGCACACTTTTCGGACAAGGCCATGTGAAACATTATTTCCTTACATTATTTTTTGACAATGCCAAATGGTTCATGTAATCATTGGATTCTACCATATGAAGTGAATAAATTTGACCAAGACAATTACTAAGTGCATTTTTCAGACAAGGCCATGGAAACCTTATTTCTTTACATTACAAGACCATTAGGCTGGTATATGACTACTTTTAAACTGTAGGTCGATCAAGCTTTGTTTTATTAAGTTGTAAAATGAATACAATAAATGTCAACTATTCATTCATCTCACTTTTTTCTTGAACATTTCCATTAACGCAAAACTTGCAACAGAAACATAAGTAGCAACATTTGCTCAAGTAAAATCCACCACATAACTGAATTTGAAGTTGCCAAAAATGTGTAACAAGTAATTATCTTCCTACAACTATATATATCAGTCTCCATTCAGCCTACAAAATCAACAAAAATGAAAAATACCAAAATTTTAATAGACAAGTAAAAGCAGGGGGAAAGAAAAGAAAAGAAAATCATATCTGACTGCTGAGGTGATATTTGCAACTTTAGTAATCCAACTTCTTCTAGGTCAGCTGATAGAATTGCTGTCCTTAGTCCCCACAGTTGGTCCCAATATAAGAATGTAACATAAATTGCCCAAAAAAGAGGGAAAAATTAAATCATCAAATTCTTATCCCCAAACATTCTCAACGCTCGGGATTTCTCCATCCTCAGCGTTGCTCGAAAACTCTACCTTTTCACTACCGGAAAATTTCCCCTTTTAACACTGGAAAATTAAAAGCCGGTCTTGTGGGTGCTCTACAAAAGCAGAAAGAAGCTACACGGGAAATGGGGACAAATCTAGTGCTGCCACTTGAATAGACTGAAAAAATCAGTACTTGACTCAAATAGATGTATAATTGGGGAAGAGCTGTATCAATTTCTCAATAGTTTCGGGCATAAATTTCCTCGCAAACAAATAACACGGGCGTTGATTTCCGTTCCACAAGCATGGTCCAATCTGAATTTCTTTCTGCAGTTGGAGAGGAATAATTTTTAGTCACCATAATGAGAAAACTTGCATTGAGCAAAGTATAGACGGGACTAGAACTAACCTTTTCCTCACTTGTCACGTGCACACTTTCTGAGATAGACTGCAAAAATAGTCAGAAAAGAATTACACCAGTTCATAGTGTCTGGCAAATTCTACATTATTATTCGTACAACTAAGTTTGGCAGAGGTATATCTTTCAGGAAGATTACAAAATTCATGTTTTAAGTTTTAGCACGAGAAAACAAAAATATATAAAACACCAGTTCATAGTGTCTGGCAAATTCTACATTATTATTCGTACAAACTAAGTTTGACACAGGTTTATCTTTCAGGAAGATTACGAAATTCATGTTTTAAGTTTTAACATGAGAAACAAAAATATATAAAACATCCCATGTAATTTTTCATAGCAAATATATGTGTGAATATTGAGAAAAAGAGGCAGGCCATACTGTAATATTTCTCATCAGCTCAAATGTCACATCCTGTGCTCTATAAGACTTCGGATGCCACTTGCCCTCAGACCAATCGACATGTGTTACCGACCAGTTGGCAATTCCACTTGGATCAAGCATCTGAAGTGGCCACATAAATTATTAGCAATTGTTATAAGTAAAAAAGATGGAGGAAAGACAAGGGATAACATCTTAGCTCGAAAACCAGAATGCACAAAAGTTCTCACATGGAAAAAAGTAGGAAGATAATGTTCGTCTGAGTAACAGTTGCGACCCTTTTCCATGCCTGGCTGTTCAATCAAAAGAAACAATTGGCAGTAGTCACTCAGTAACATGTGTTAGTAATATAAAATCAAATCTCCTAACACATAGGGCAAGAATGAGAAGAAAATATAGCAACTTACAGTAATCTCTGAATTTAGAGTATAACATCATATATTGAGGAAAACACGTTACAATTTAAAGCTTATATTACCCTGCAATAATCTCTGAATTTACTGTAGTAGAGACTGTCGGCCGTAATTATAAGGGCATGTTGCCGCTTCATAGTGAACCACTGCATTGTAAAAAAGCGAAAAGCAAATTATAAAGTGCACCAATGCAAGTTGTTGAAACTGAAACAGGCAGCAACCCAAAGAGCAGAGACACTATGTTGTGTTTGTAAAAGTCTGAGATTCTTGATTCTATGTGGGTCTTNCCCAAGAATCACCTGCATTTCATAATACTATCTCTCTTAGGTATATACCATCTTCTCCTTTGTCCAATGCCATTAACACCAACAAAAACTTAATAAGACATAATATCCCACACCCCAACCAACCCCATCAGATGTCTACAGTAATCATTCCATTTAAATCACATGATGATCAACTGTACATGTGAAACTGCAAGGAAAAACCTAGATAATCTTCATGCTACACAAGAAAAGCTTGATTTGCTAAAACTTAAATACAGCTGGTTGCTCTTTATGCTGTTGCCAAATCAAATCACCCATCTCTATATTTTCTGCATATAAATTTTTCCAAAATACAAAAATATGAAACGCACCTGGGCACCCTTTCGAAAGTCTTTCTTCTCTACTTCTGGTAACATATATTCACTGTATCTACCAGTTCCATGTGGACCAGGATCATCAAAGCTGTCGAAATCAGTATAAAGTGTTTATGTCTCGTATAATCATATTCAACTTTAAATAAGTTGGTGTTAAAAACAACAATTCTAATTAAACAAAGCAAACTAAAAGAGATATCACTGTTAGAGCTAATAGGCATTGTAAGAGAGAACCCCCCATAGTTTTAAATTTTTAATGTTAATAGGCACATCAACATAGCATTGGGATTGAGAACCTTAGGGGGACTACATATATTTATATCAAACTCAACATAATATTGATGAATGTTGTTTGAGTCCATCAAAATTCACATATGTGGATGTATTCAAATGTCTTAATGAACCCTTGCTGTATTTGAATCAAACCTCAGAGGATTTTAAACAAATTCTAACCAGAGTAAATATTTATCTCTAATTGTATCACTATAATGTATACAGCAAATAAGACTACCAAAGGTGAATGCTGTTGAACAATATGATAGTTTATTTGGTAATCAAAAGATTTAAAACCCCAGAACAAAATACGTACAGCCACCTATCATTAAAGAAAATAGTAAGCATAGGAAAATTAGCAACTTACCAATCTACAAAGCTAACATTTGTGTACATGAGATAGTTGTAAACATAATCAAAATCACGAAGTGGTATGCAGCTGCAGCACAGGGGAAAACAGAACTAATCAGCATCTGAATAAAATGAGCTACCAAAATAACACAAACGTGAGAACATGG